TGTTCATATAATTGTGTTTTAGTATAGTGAAAAGCACATAATCGTTTATTTATTTTGGATACATATTTAAAAACACATTACAACATATATCACTAAACCTTGCTTTTTGTTATTTACAAGGGTTTAAGTCTGGCACCATAAACGTGAGTCGTTTGACATACCGCTATGTCAGCGGTTAGTAGAGTGGATTATTGTCGCACAATTCAGCCTATTAAGTAAACAGTAGAAATTCGAAATGGGTATTTTCTACTGAGTTAGTGGCCAGAAATTTTTATATGTGGTGCTACTTGCATCTGGAGTGTGTTCAGAACACGCAGGTATCTTGGACAGACATATATGCATACCCGGATAGTCGAGTTGTTAAGGTGTTCAAAAGTATTACTTGGAGAATTCCATATGATTCCAGAAAACACTGCGAAATATTTTACTTAATCAGCGTTGAATAGAAGCTTATTACAAACATATGGGAAGTGAAGAGTCATGTGCCATGTTTTTGATTGGATATTTACCCGTACCGCTGATATATTTAGCATTGTTTCGAAAAATTCCAGGAACTCAGGATTGTCTGTAATTTTACAAACATTCTCGTCTTTGTGTATAAAATAACTTTGGAATAAAACGTTCTTTTCGCACTTCAAGCCTTTTCTCTTGTCCGAATTGTCGTGTAGATTTAGCTTGGGGTTATTAGAAAGGGCTAGGAAATTGGATCGAACGTTCAATTAGTAAGATTTAATAAGGGTTTGCTTAAGTATTTGTTGAATTTAATATACGTAATTACAGTTAAGGGTGAGATGTCGCAAAGTTTGTTGTGCTGGTGTGGTACTTATGAATGTAAGTAATATGTAAACTTAGTAATCTGATACACATTTTCACCGAGGAAACATTACTGGGCGTCTATTGCTATGGCTATCTGTAATATTAACGGGAAGTAACTTGGTCTGCACCTGATATAGAACAGATGGAATGTGGCTAGAAGTGGAATGCAAGACGCGCGTTTCCTCCTATAAACAGTCACTTAGTTTATAAGTACACACATACAAACCCAAGCAGTGAAATCTTATCGTATATCTTTCCTGATATATATAATATATTATAAACCAAGGCGACTAAACTGAAGACAATATTCGTTGTCAAATTAAATTTATGATAGAAGTACTGAAATAGAGTTATTAGTTACACTTGCTTTAAATACTTTTCAGTTTGTGTGCTTATATTCCTATGCATTGAAACAATGTTTCCATGTACGACATGTGGACAAACGTGAAAGGAGATAAAAACGTGTAAAGGACTGCAAGATAAGAAGCCTACAACCTAATACAAATAATTTTGTTACTTCATCCAATCTTTTTGCATTAATTGCATTTTAATAATCACTTATTTGACTACACAATTACATAGTTGGATAGCTGAAAGACCTTCTGAAATTTAGACTGAACATCAGTATAAGTTATTCATAAAGAACGTAAAAACGAATTAGAATGCGTCATCATAAGGACCATAGAAGAACAGTAACACGTCTAACAACTTGGCATCTTATATCCTTCATACTGTATGTCTAGTCTAATCATATATACCAGAAGGGGTTTGTGGAGATTTTAGAAATTTTCACAGATTTAAATCATGAGTCAGTTGAAGCTAGACGCACTGCTGAGGAGCCCCATACTAGGACGAAACGGCCGTCCAGTGCTTCCAGGTTTTCAATGGTGGTCTAGCTTCAACTGACTCATGATTTAAATCTGTGATAATCATATATACATTAATTTAAGCTATGCCTAAACCAATTATATTTGGCTAAAGATTCCTTAAATTATTAGATGATTTGGTTAAATATGCATGGATCATATCAGTAAATTAAATATATATCTTCAAAACATTTAAAACAGTCCGAAAAACACAAAGCTTACCCACAAACAACTGTGGCGAATGCTTTCAGTTAATCACAAATTAAACCAACATAGCACGGGTTGGCTTCAGGGAAGGGATGTAATGAAGTCCAAAATACGACCAACGAAAACTAATACTACTAATGATTGTTTTTTACTGCTGTATACTGTAGTGAGTTTATTTACTGAAATGTATATTCAGGAACGTTTGTGTTCTATTCTTCACCTAGTTCGTTTGTCCTCGGCTATCGATTATCAGGGTAAACGATATAACATACACAAATGTGTATGTGCCTTTGTCTAAAATAACACAATCCTCTTACTGGTTCAATGCATTTTTTTACTATTCAAAAAGATTTATGAGCTAAAATAAATACTGGTTTGTGTTAATGGAGACTGATATTTTGTGACACTATCGATAATCATGTCATGAGGTACATGTTGTTGATTGAGTGACTAGTAAAATCCGACGAACAAAACAACGCTAGATTATCTACAGAAATGGTACTGTTATTAATAAAGTGTATGTAGTGAATTATAAAACTTAACTGATAAAGTGTCTACAAGATTTGTGCATGATCAGAGATTACTTCCTGAAATCAATATGTAGAGTTATCTATAACAACATACAGTAATATATATAACAGCCAATAACTGTGTCAAAATTACAATGACAGAGAATATAAGAATGAGAATGAAGAACATCAAATATAGAAACAATAAACATACATTCAACGTAGCAAAAGAATTGAAAGTAACTACCGTAAATATTATGATCCATCAAAACGCTAAATAAATCCAATGTCAAGTTTATGACTGTTCTTAAATATTACGCAGCCAATAGACACAAAAAGGGAGCTGAAGAAGAGAATAACGGATGTTAACAAGCGTAACAGAGGACATCAACATTAGATTACAGTTTGCTATCTCATTGTACTCAATTCAATTTGAAACGTTTTATAGTATCACTAGTCATAAAAAAACTATGCAACTCATGTGCCAGATAAATAATACGTCACGTAAGAATACTCAAAAAGTATCTTATTCCTTTAAACAAAAAACCAACCTTATAAAAAGTTTTGAATCTATTGATATTAACGAATCCGAATGAATCAATTTCAATGACTAGTCAGTCTTGGAGAATTAATGTAGACAACTAACTCTTTGTAAAGTGAACTTTCTTAGTTTCATGTGTTCATACTGTCTTCAGTCAGTGAATTCCAAACCACTGGAAATTCTATATTTTTTTCACAATTAGATTAGATTTTTCAACCTAATTAATTAATAGAATCTGCTGCCAACATTTCAGAAGTCTGCAGTTACCATGATGCTGGTATAGCATATGTCTGTGAATTTGTAGCGCGTCTGCTTCTCAATATGTGTGCGATACCAAGCATTTTTTTCCGTTTACTCAGTGAGCAACTGCTGCATATAAGAGTATGATTCTCACTAAATACATCATTTCTAGTTCTAGCTTTCATTTCATATTTGACACCCCAACACCACTTCCATTTTAAAATAATTACCATCTTCACTTCATTTAAGGTGAATGTATTTCGTGTACAGTAGTAGTAGTGTAGTGAATGAAATCTCAGGTAAGGTGGACAGACTCATTTTTCTATGCAAAAATCACTACCTTTGTAAAATATAAAAGCCATACATTAAAAACATCATCCGCACATTTTCCTTGAGTTGTCATTTACATATTCCCACAGTTTTTATTTCTCTTCTCTTTATTTCAATCCTCTACTGATAAGCATTTCACTTCCAGTTCCTGCTACATACTACGTATATCTGTCCACATAGGTAGCACATATCGCATTGGTAGTAGTAACACTATTTCCAAGTATTTTGTTAGTAAAAGTAATGCATGTTGATTTAGCATTCTTTTAACCTTAATATCATGATTGCTTTTAACACTTGCAATGTATAATGAGAATTAGTATACGAATCACCATGAAATTGTACAGTGAATTTATTTCATGCTGATTTAAATGTAGCTTTTTTATTAGAAGTGAATGTTTTGAAAATAAACGATTCAGTTGATCACGTTTTCAACAAGCATTACTGAATTTTAATTATTGATTAAAACAAGCAATAAAATAACTAGATGTGAGATTAAGATCAACCAGTGATACTAAAACTACGTATTAAACAATTTCCTCACACCCTTCTCTGTAATATCAGTTATCAAGTTTAAGGTAGGAGGACTCTTGAAAAGGAACTCTACAAGCAATCTGAGATTACTAAAACAATTAGGCCTACTAAATTTGTAAGTGAAACTCGTAAGGAGTTAAATGGTGAAGGTAAATAATGTAAGTTATTAGCAGTTCGGATGACGTCTGTATTGGACTGTGGTGTTCAGTTTTAGTGTAGTGACAAGAAAGGCTAACCTAATTCAATATTCTTTAGTTGTTATATGATATAATTGAGAAGTTCTCAATAGTTATCTAACTTAGATCGGTTCATTATCTCAGTAATAGTCAACAAACAGCAAAACTCTCCTCTCTGTATGATCACCGGTGACTAGCGTTGAAAGGAACATTCCAGAGTTCTAGTGAGAAGCTGTGACCAATGGAGTTCAACTGTGCCAGAAGTGCGCTACCCACAGAAGATAATGGAAAGTGGTAGTGCAATATCGCGGATCGATTGAGGGTAGACTTGTACACCACTGGATCCAAGTTTGGTGGCTTAGAGGTTGAACGTCCATATATGAAACCGAAGGTTTCGGGTTCGATCCCCAGTAACAGTCGTAAATGCGCACCGCCGAGGAGATACATACTAAGGCGCAACGAATTGGAGTCATGAAAATTTTACAGGAAATATTTGACAGTATTACTGAAATACTGTAACTAGGGTATCTGGTGTTACATATTCGTTCGAAGTCAGTAGGAAACCCTGGACCTAGGTTAGGTTTTAGTAGGAACTCATAAGGGGACTGATACTTATCATGTGATTTGAGTTCACGTCACCAAGCTTCAGTGTGGGATGCCACCACTCACAAGTACCAGCAGGGAATGACCTCCTGTAGGACTGAAATACTGATGTTGACCGATCACTGGGTTCCCACCAATCTCAAGCATGACACTGAACAATATTATAAAACCGTAAACCTTAGGAAATGATAGCTACAGGATTGATTGACCTCGAGTACATTAGCGAAGGTAATGATAAAATAGTAGTGGAAAAAAATGATTTAAAGTAAATTAAACACGACAAAGTTTATAATCGATAGACAAATTTTTTTGAATTTTTGTACATGATTAAAACATATGAATAAAATATATTTATATATATTCAGACTGGATATTTTAATTATGCTGAAGTAGTGTCGATAATATTGAAATTATCACCTGCATATAAGGTGACAGTATGTCCATTTGGTCGAAATTATTGGTGGTTTGAAATATACAGATACCGTTTACTGTCATTTTTACTAGGAAAGACTGGACTTGAACTGTTATTAACAACCTTCATGAAAGCAATTACAGATTAGACATAAAACCTTTGATCTTCAAAACACTAAAAGGCAATATGCATTAAATTTATAGAAACAGATGTACAAAGTTTATTTTATTTTGCAATTTTCAAGTTTTTTTTCCTCTTGTGTTGTTTTTTCTTACGTTTTAAATGTTTAGCAAGTTGATGGTGTTTTACAGGTTGGCCGTTGCTTGTATCAGATTTACATGGTGAATTTGCTATTTTAGGTGAACTTTGTACAGAATTATTAATGACTAACATTTTATCCAAACGAGCTGGTGCTGGTGGAATAGCAATTTGATAATAATTGCAAATTTCTAAAAGCTGTTTACGTTCCTCAGCATTGGCAATAAAACTAACAGCCAAACCAGTACGTCCAAAACGCCCAGAACGACCTATACGATGTAAGTATTCACTGGTATTCATTGGCAAATCAAAATTCACAACTAATCCCACTGTCTGAACATCAATACCTCTAGCCCACATATCACTACTGATTAAAATACGACTGAAATATAAAAGGATGTAAAAAGAAAATGATAACATTATGTAATGCACAGAAATTGGAAATTATTTACAAGTAATGTCAATAACAATTAAAAGGAAACTAGTGCGACAGTTTGCGGACTATCAACTGAACAAAACAGCGGACTGAGAGGATACCTCTTGAACCAGTAACTTAGAAAATCTGATAGACTTTTAACATCATAAATAGTATTTACTTTGGTATAAACTTGACAAATCAATCAATTTACATCATTTCCAAAGTACAGAATCATGTACCCAGCTTTGTACCACAATCCCTTTACCCAGAAGTAAGTGGGATAAATCAACCATTTAGACCAAAGTGGAGCTTGAACTTGATTCCGCCGAACGTCCGACAAAAATAACCCAGTTACTGTTTTACTAAAGCTTTTTGATGACAACTTTCATCAGTATAGGGGGTTAGTGAAGGTTGTTAAATCTCATAATCTACATTATGAACTAACTTTAACCGCCACAAGAAACCGGGAAACACTGGACAGCTATTTCGCCCTACCATGGGACTCTTCAGAAATGTTCCCCGACATCTCTGATGAGGATCGAACTCAAGGGTTTTAGGTCTCAGAGCGAGCGACACAGTGGTTTCGAGATATGTGCTCGCCTAGATACCTGAAAACCGTGGGTTCGATCCTCAGTAGGGACTTAGGTGCAGACTATTGAGGAGTTCTATACTGTGACGAAACAGCTGTTCAATGTCTACTGGTTTCCAATAGTTGTTTGACTAAGATTAGATCGTGATGTAAAATATAAAATAACAACTTTCAGTTTGAACTAACATGTGAGTAACAGTATGGTGGATAATAAACACTTCGTTAATATGAATGATCAGTTCGTTGAAATAATGACAACATAATGACTTTTACTGAAATTTTGGAGTCATTCAATATCTAATTTTACGATATGAAAAGTGAATTATTATGTAAAAAAAATTCCAGTAAGTTTGAGAGCATTTAATTTTGTTGCTATCATGAATAGTGGAAACGGTGGACGGGAAAGTTGGTTTGTGATTTTAGTTAAAAGATTATACAGTCTACTTCTGGGAAATAAAAAAGTGAAACACATTTATGCATTTTGTAAAAAGGCAAACATTTTAAAGAAAGAGTAGCCAAAGTTAATTTAGAATTATTAATGATATCAATAGAATGCTGGTATTGACAATAATGCATACAGGTATATGAGCTTCAACCACTGCATGAAAACACTAATCACTAAACACCTGATAAATTCAGTGGGATTTGAAATTTGAGAACGAAGCTAACAAGTTAGAAGGCTTTCTTCTTTTTACATAAGTCTTCTATTATGACAGTATCTACGAAGAAAAACAAGAAAATTACCATTCGCCAGAACGAAATTGTTTCATAACTGACTCTCGTTGGCTTTGATCAAGATCACCGTGAGCAGCAGCCACTGTAAAACCTTCTCGTTTCAACTGACTTGCAAGCCACTCAACTTTTCGTCGAGTATTAACAAAGACAACAGTTTGTGAAACACAGACACTGGAAAATAAATCATTTAACGCTTCAAATTTCCATTCCTCTGAGCCAACATCTATGTAGAATTGCTGAAGGTCAGAAAGACTAAGTTCGTCTCTATAGATGAAATTTAAGACAAATTAGTGAAATCAACAGGTATTGAAAAGGTCAGTTAGTATAGTTAAAATTTACCAAATGAAGCTGCCTGGAGTGTGAAATCCTTAAATATAATATTTTGGAAGAAATAAAGTGTAAGATTATGTACCGTTTTAAGAGGGATTATTATTCCTTTGACTTTTGTATTAAATTTGTGCGACAATTTAACAGTCAGTAACTTCAATCTGTGTACAATGAAATCAACTTCAACATGAATTAATCCTCGTTGACCTCTACTGAATAAGTATTCCTTACAAGATTTACCTTTTAGAGTAGTTCAGATTGCAAAAAAGAGCTATGGTATACTGGTATCAAATTGTAACTACCAGTTATTGCTATTATCACAGTTATATCATAAATAAGTGAATGAAATGATAAGAATCCCCACTAATAAATTGGATCAACCAAGTAGTATAAATTTTAATGATATTACGACTAAATCATCTAATTTGTTGATATCGCAAGATCATGGATTGATTGAAGTTAGACATTAACAAACAGGTCCTGGGTCCGAGCCCCGCATGCAGGAGTCTCATATTAGGACGAAACAGCATTCAGTGTTTCTAAGTTTTAAATGGTGGTCTAGCTTAGATTGACTGATTTCAACCGTGAAAATATCTATATTTATTTCGACTATTAATGTTGCAACATTATTTAACTGTTAACTTTTACACCTAATTCAACATAAAAAACCAAGAAACATTACTGGATCAAAGATAAGCTGAAACTCAACGGCAACTACATCACAACCTATACTATGTTATGCAACTAAACTTATTCTATTTTCATTTACGCTTAGAAGACTGTAGTTTTGTTTTATCATAAAAGTATATCACACGAAAGTTACGTTTTTTAAAGATAAAAAATGAAAAGAGAAAATTATATGTAATCATCCACTACTGTTTTGGATCTGTTCACTTTTATACTATTCTAAAGAATCCATTTTTCTTTCTAATCTCATGTTAAATCAACGATTCTAATATTTATTGAAAGTTAAATGCCTATATAGTTAGTAAAATTTGTAAAAATATTAACTATAGATGAATAAATGAAATTAAACATATAATTGATATAAAAGAAAAAATGAAAGCCAGAACAGTTTCTATTTATTTCAAAGGTGGTAGACGTCCAAAAAGTAGGAATACGATTGCTTTATTGATTTTTTTGAGGAACTAAAATAAGAAGTAATTATACAAAAGTATCACAACTGATAAATAATAATAATAATAATAATAATAATAATAATAATAATAATAATAATAATAATAATAATAATAATAATAATAATAATAGAATTTACCTCGGTACAAGAACACAAACAGGATTAGATGTGAAATTTTGAAACAATTCTAAATGCTCTTTAAGCATTGTAGCTGAGATGATAACAATTTGACAATTGAGAGACTTTTTGTTATTCGAATTAGTATGAGATGGGAGGCGGCGATATATCTCCTCTAACTGATCGTGTAATCCTCTATTTAACATTTCATCAGCTTCATCCAAAACCAAAGAACGTAGTTTATTTAAACGTATGTTACCTTGTCGAAGAAGCTCTAAGAAGCAAAAATCAGTGGAATTGGGTAATGAGCGTTACCAGATGATGACTAATCTCAAAAAAAGAATATTAACATGGGGATGTTACTATGGGAAGTTTAACAGCTGTGAAAATAATTAGCCTACTTACTACATATCTACTTTTATGAACAATTTAAAAATAATATCTCCTACAGAAAACTAGTAACTTTCATGATTGCAGGGAAAATCAAACTTCTAATGTAGCATCAATAATTACATCTTAGTAGGAATGTGAATGTTGTACAGACCTCAGATTCTATGTTGTTTTATTTACTTGATAATACTCTGAATATATATGCATACAAAATACTCTACAAGTGGAAGAATCACTGGGCAGTTAGCTTCCAATCAGTATGTAGTAGTTTCGAATCCAGCAATACCTTTTACTTCGAGTTTGAATAGCCGAGTAGTTCCATTCGACCAAACATAGTGTAACTTGTACTTGATAAATGGTTACTTTAAATAAGAAAATGAGACGGTTGCAGTTTACCTACTAATTGAATTAATTCTGCTTTGCGTGGTTGAGTGATTATTTACGTAGTGACTGATCCAAGCTTTTCACGTGAAAACAATGAACAGGAGGAAAGATAATGTAGCTTGAAAAGACAAATAAATTGACGCGAAATCATTTAATAGTTTGTTAAGTTTATTTTGGACAGAAATTATCGAAACGAACGTCTATCGCAAAAACTAACTGAAAACTACGTAGTGATGGACGGTTGTTTCATTTTATTTTTAAAATAAACCATAAAATGAATTAACATAAATGCTAAAATGATTATAAATGTGTTTAAGGGAACACTAAAGTTACATACTACACTATTTGAAACACCCTACTTGTCTTGTTATGTAAGCAAGCCTAAGGGAAATTTTAGAAGCAGTAATTCAGCTATGATGTAAGTAAATTTCAAGAACACTAAACCAAGTAATTTACCCAATATTCGACCTGGAGTACCAACGACAACATGCACTCCCTTATCAAGTTCGCGAGCCATTTGCATAGTATTGTTTCGCCCACCACAACAAGCGACACATCTGATAGACAAGTAATCAGACAATGATGACATAACCTAGAAGCATAAGATAATAAATACTTCATGATTACAATAATGGTAATATGGTCTATTCTTATTAGCTGAAGATAGACTCGATTATTCGAATGTACACTCAATAGTTTAATGACTATCAATCGAATAAAGCAGTAGCGGACTGCAAAGATAAACCTTGGATTATCTGAAAATGCGATAAACTTAAAACTTCATGTGTAACATTTACTGTGGTATAAAAACTTGGCAGACTCATCAATGTATTTTATTTACCAAGTTTAAACACATAAACATTGGTACAAAGAGGCATCAAAAACATATGAGCTACAAAAATCATTCGATTTGTGTGAGGGCTGTGATACTGCCCGGGTGCCCAAACCGAAGCAGATGGTCTTCTTAGGGGGTCACACCACTAGCCTTTAACCTAAAGGTCTAATCCATAAGGCAGTGGAGCAACATCAGGAGATGAAGCCCTATGGTAGTTGGCGACCAATAATTGGTTCATACGCCATTTGTTCTCTCAGGATCCTGGAGCCCATATGCACCATTGGTTTGTAATCAGGGTATTCCAATTTCCCTAGGTGGGTCCTCCATATCCACCTACCTGGTTAAAGCTTCGGATATTAGCTTTTTATCCTCTCAATTTCGTAAACAACACCCCCGCCGTGAGAAGGCAGTGAATAGGACTTCCCTGGTAGAAGCTGTATACGTTTGGTCATGTGAGAGCATTTTGAAAGGGAGAGCTGACTTTCCGCACCCTCGGTCGTACGAGGACATTTGGGGGCAAAATCATGTATTCAGCTTTGAGCAATATTTTGTTCTAGAGATAGTGACACTACCTAGTTGTCTAGTGTTTTAAACAGTGACCAAGTAGTTGGAAGCTAAATGCTTCAACCAACAAGATAAATTAATTTCACAAGATACAAGTATGTAGTATTCTAAAACTATAATAGCCAAAATTCACCGTAACATTTCCCACTCAGTCAGTTGGATCCAACGTAGGACCAGGCACATATATGCACCAGTTTAGGTTGCCGTACTTCATTAGCACAACAAGATGAACACCGAATTCATATTCGATGGTGATAATATATAAAAGAAAGATTGCATATAGGGATATAGTACAGGAAGAAAGATGTAAAGCAATTTTAATCTTACGGTTTAAATGTATACACCTACGCTATTGCTATCAATTCTGAGCCATGTCACCCAGAGTCTCCAACTATTGGTTACTCTTACTACCTCTACCACTACGGAATTTGAATCGACAACTGCATCTCTGTGCTAAAGTGGTATGGCAACTCGAAATGATGTACGTACGTACGAAGTTCTACGTTGTTACTGACTGACTGACAACCATTTAGTCCCCATCTACCAACATGGCCAAGACTAAAAGTTAGCGACTTCAAGCACTGATATCGCGTTTGGCTTGGCCGTCTCTAACTTTCTTCCAACCATCTCCAACATTAGTCAGCATTGTGCGTCGTGGTAATCGGTGTTCAAGCATACGCAACACGTGGTCCAACCATCTCAGTCGGTGAAGTTTCACAACCTCATCAACTGACTTACCATCATTCCCTATTAGGGAATGACGGCAATACCCCGTGTCTAACCCCACTATTACTTACCCGGTGATCCCAGCAGACGCCAGCAATATTTCTAGGGCAACTGTGGTCAAATACTAGTAGCTTACGAGTATCTCCACATAATGGCCACGTTTCGCAGCCGTAAAGTAAAACAGAACGAACTGCCGCGCAGTATACTCGTCCCTTGATTGACAGACGGATATCTCGCCTTTGCCATAGGTGACGTAAGTTGGCAAAAGCCAAACGAGCTTTTCGAATCCGTGCTGAGATTTCGTCAGACACCAACCCATTAGGGCTGATCAGACTTTTAAGTGAAGTTGTCAACGTGTTCGACTACTTCACTCCCTATCCTTAGTTCAGGTGTTGACGCAGGCCAGTCCTGGAGTAACAACTTGCATTTAGAGAGGGAGAAACTCACCCCAAACATCCTAGCATTTTCCACTACGTTCTATTTCGTAGATAAATATCCGTGTTGTTCTTTCTACAGTTAAACTAAGGATACAATATACTCTTTGGTAAAAAAAATAGCATTGATTGTTCCTAACCGGAAATATCTAACCAAAATAACTGGAATTCTTGGATCATCGCTTGACAAGAAACGATTTTGTTTAAAGTTGGCTTATTGATGTAATTTGGGTAGAGTAAACAAATAGCGTGTGAAAGTCTAGTGATTTATACGCTGAAATAAGTAGGGACGCTTCTCTACTTGATGACGTCATAGTTACTCAGCCGGAGTTATTATGCTGAACATAAGTGGAATTGATAAGTGACAATTTAGTTTAAGCTATAAGCAGTGGGAGCTTCTACCAAACTTCGTGAAGTTTCGACGTAAAAATGACAATATGGGTACTAATGGTATGTAAAATAACGTGCCTATTATAATGTTTCGATTGGCGTTAGTGCCACTCATACTGGACACTCCACAAAATTGTTGCGGGAGTAATAGGTTATGACAGACTGAGCGTAAAACTAATATGAGAAGTTAGTTTAGTTTGATTGATTACATGGGTTATTTTGGTTTAGGTACACACATCCGTGGAAAATTTTGACGCAAATAAGATAATTTACGATAAGCTGAATGATACATTGGAACCTACAATGTTGGTTACAAGTGAATATATTCTTATAATATGGAGTAATCCAGAAGTGCAAACCAACCAGTTTTCAAGATGAGAATCAACAGTGTCATATTAATTGTTGTTATACAGTTGGTTACCTCCAACTATCTTCAATGACATTCTGTTAGAATATTTAACAAGATATTTATCACTGATATGTAGTCTAAAATTACGTATGGATAAATAAGCTCTAATAAGAATATGAAAATACAGTTATGTGTTTACTTTGCTACACTTAAATAACAGATTTATGTAGGACTGTAAGATCATAATGATGATCCCTCTTTTATCACCCGTCATCCAATAATAAGCGAGAATTTTGGTAAATTAGCTACTGAAACGAAAATTTTTTAATATATTCATACACTTTCATTAAAAAACCATTGTTTGTTAAAACTTTCAAATTAGTGGCAGAAAAAACTTATTTATATGGTTTAAGATTTCAGCTGAAAATTTTTGTTTGGTTTTTTTCAAAGGGGATAGTACTTTTTATTGAGTTGTTAAAAATCAGATGATAATTTCGATAGTTGATTCGTTTTCATTGTCATATTTCATTTCATCATATCGCAAAATAGTGGAATACAGACAGAAACATACATGATGTATTTGGAAAGCCAATTCGCGTGTGGGTGCCAAGACTAGCACTTGAATTTGACAGATCTCGGGGAGAATGTTTTGCAAAGTTCCTATGCTAAATGTTGCAGTTTTTCCAGTCCCACTTTGAGCTCTGAAATTAAAAAGTAACTTCTGTTCTATGTATTGTAAATGTGCTGAACTTACTGTGCAATTAAATCTCTCCCTAAAGTTATTTGTTTGATAGTTTTCTGTTGAATAAGGGAGGGTTTTTCAAATCCTACACAAGAATTACATGAAATAATGCAACAAACCGTAGGCATAAATCCCCTTCAAAAGGTTTTCTTTTAACCCCATAGAAGCAAACGTTGGATAAGATTTCAGTGATTCGGATAAATTGAAGTCACTTTCCGATAACGTATCCATTTCCAAAAATCCGTTGATCTGAGAGTAGGTCGTAAATACTCCCGACGAACAATGTGCCTAACCAAATGTATAAAATAATCGATTATGTCAGTCAGTCAGCTACAACGTAAGACCAGGCACATGTGTGCATCGGTCCAGGTTGCCATACCGCATCAGCACAACAAGATGAACACCGGATTCATAACAGTGGTTAGGTAAAAGGTGGTAATATATAAGAGAAAGATTGCATATAGAGATATAGTACAAGAAGAAAGAATTGGTTCGTAGAAAGAAAGATATGAAGCGATTTTAATCTCTTAGTTTAACCCGACCGTTGTTGCTACCTTGACGTGGTGGTCGGGCTTGCCTATCGTGATGAAGCAACCGAGCTATACTGGCTGGAACAACCGTTCCTCAAGGTCCTACCATGTCAGACAGGTCGGTTGAAGAGCGGTAAGACTAAAAGCAACAAACCCAAGGTCCGAAGGCGAAGTCGTACTGCTGACTGTCCAGGGGTGTGACAGCAGTAAGGTGTTTCCTTCAGACAACCAGCATGACAGCGATGCTGCCTTCCCACAAGGAGGGGTGGGGTTAGAAAAGGTCGACCCTAAAAATGCACACCTCACCTTACCTCACGGATTTCCGTCTCTGGCGGTAAGGCTCTTTGAAGAACGGAGCTAACACGTCAAAAACGTTCCACGAAAAGGCCGTGCGCGACCGGCCTCAAGCAGTTGTCCCTTGGGCACTGCGGTCACGCTCTCAGGTCGCTGAGACCGCCTCTAATCCAATTTCCTTTTCAGGTACCTCCAGAACAACCCTTCCACGGTGTGGGCAACCGGGAAGTGATAACCACCCTCATACCTCTAACAGCACCCAAGACCACTGTATTCATAATCAACCTTCCTCTTCAATTCCTATTATTCCTCCTACATCGACTTTCAACCCTAAACTTCCTCCTTCGGCTTCTTCCTCAAGTGTCACCATAGCCAACGATTCTAGTGCTCAAAACTCTGTCCCAAGTCTACTGAAACCTCGCTCCAAACTACACATTGGAGCTTTCAACGTACGCACTCTATGTCAAATCGGTCAGCAGGCTTCCTTGGCTAAAACCCTAGAGTCTCTTTCCATTAATGTATGCTGTGTCTCCGAAACACGCATACAGGATTCCAGTGTGGTCATTCACTTGACCTCACCTCGGCAAAACGGAGAGCCAACGAGATAAACCCTACGTCTATCTGGCGACCCGATGGCCAGTTCTCGTGGACTGGCAGGTGTAGGCATAGCACTAAGCATGAGGGCGGAACAAGCACTGCTAGAGTGGATCCCCGTCAACAGTCGTCTATGTGCTGTTCGGCTAAACGGCTCCGTAAGAACTCGGAAGGATAGGGACACACGTCGTTGCCTTTTTGTCGTTTCTGCCTACGCTCCCACTGACTGCAGCTCAGATGATGTAAAAGATGAATTTTACAGAAAGCTTTCTGAACTTCTTCAGAAAGCTAAACGCTCAGACATAGTATTCGTAGCAGGTGACTTTAATGCTCAGATAGGTAGCTTAAACCAAACAGAAAGGCATTTAGGTGGATATTTTAGCATTCCGGCACAGCGAACAGATAATGGTGACCGTCTGCTGCAACTGTGCTCAGACAATCGCTTATTTTTAGCAAACACAAATTTTAAGCATAAGGAGAGACATCGTCTAACATGGCATCTGTGGTCAAATACTAATAGCTTACGAGTGTCTTCTACTCTTAATGGCCATGTTTCGCTGCCGTAAATTAAAACAGAACGGACTGCCGCGCAGTATACTCGTCCTTTTATTGATAGACGGATATCTCGCCTTCGCCACAGGTGACGTAAGTTAGCAAAAGCCAAACGAGCTTTTCGAATCCGTGCTGAGATTTCGTCCGATACCAACCCATTAGGGCTGATCAGACTTCCAAGATAAGTGAAGTTGTCAACGCGTTCGACTACTTCACTCCCTATCCTTAGTTCAGGTGTTAACGCAGACCAGTCCTGAAGCAACAACTTGCATTTAGAGGGAGAGAAGCGCATTCCAAACATCCTGGCATTGTTGCTCAGTGCTACCAGAAGACTGCATTTTGTCAGCGTCTTCACCAAACAGGACTATGTCATCTGCGTATTCTAAGTCGATAAGTGGACCTCCTGGATGGAGATCAATACCCGAGAACTCAGTCGACGAGAAAGTTATTTCCATCAGTAGATCTATGATGAAGTTAAACAAAAATGGGGAAAGTGGACATCCTTGACGGACACCACTTGAGGTTGCAAAAGTAGATGACAGTTCGCCATAAGCTCTCACTCGACTAGTAGTGTTCGAGTAAAAAGCCTTTACAAGGTTTATGTACTTCTGGGGTACGCCTTTCAATGACAGATACTGCCACAGAATCTCGCTGTCTACAGAGTCAAATGCTGCTTTTAAGTCAAGAAAGACCACCATCGTCGGACGTCGATAAGTATGCCTGTGTTCTAGAACCTGACGAATGGTGAATATGTGGTCGATGCAGCCACGACCAGGTCTGAAGCCAGCTTAGTTTTCTCGTGTTTGCAGTTCACGAGTCTTAGTTAGGCGTCTGATTATTATTGAGGCTAGTATTTTAGATATTATATTAGTTAAACTAATCCCTCTGTGATTGTCACAGGATGACTTTGACCCTTTCTTATATATTGGGACGATAAGTGATTGTGACCAGTCAGATGGAATAACGTCTAACTCCCAGATCTTAGCTAAAATATTAGTCAACCTAATCGCTAAAATTGGACCACCATCCTTAAAGACTTCTGGAGCCAGTCCATTTGCCCTTCCTCGTTTCAGATTATCTATATCTATCTATCTACAGCATGTATCATCCGATATCAAAACAGTAAGGTTTTTATAGATGATACAGATAACAAATAACGCTTAATTACACAATACGCCTCTACTTTAATCCCACCTATTCATTGAGGTTATGAGAGTGAACTTTGAACCATAGCCGGATAATAACTGATTGATTAGAGCACTCAACTTTCAACCACTTCCTTTTTAGCAAAGGGTTAGTAGAATAAGTATGGTTTCATTTCACTATATTAGTCAGTAAATAATTACCTAGTTGAAGTTGGTATTGAAAGAAAATGAAATTGCCTTACAAAATAAAATTGCAGCTACTAGGCTAGTGAAAGAATTGTGCTTCCTTTTTTGTATACAAAAGTTAGTCTAAAGGAGTATAATAGAAGTTCCTCTAATGAAAATAAGAACTTGATCATTTTCGCAACTTTATTAGCTATTTAAAAGTGAACTGTGAGTTTAAGTATTGGATAAAAGTCTAATTTATAGTTCTCCCTAATCGTTAGTGAGATAGATACATGACAGCGGTAAGAACAGTCTAAACTGAAATTATAATACCATAACTGGTTCATTTATAACCATTTAATGGGAACGCGTGAGTCAAGATATCGTAAGTTCTTCATGTAAATTTAACATAAACTCTAACATGTTAGACAAGTGAAAGTAGTCTAAATTTCTTACCAACTGTCTACGACCACTTAACATCAAAACGCAATGATCACATACCAAGCCACTTAAACTAGTGATCCCATTGGAATTTCATCGACAGAATACATGTGTAACGTATGCTCAACCACCGCCTATCTTGATGGGGGATGCTTTCTTGTGTAGGAGTAGGTTGGAAGAAAATCAGGGGCGGGTTAACCAAAAACATGTCATCAGTCTATAAAGTCACTGACAATTGAACTTAGTCATGTTAGTAGGTTCAAACTATCTGGTTAGGGTCCATATGATTATCAGAACCAATGATTAGAGACTGAATGATATGGCTCGAAATCGTTCCCGATGACCCAGGTGAATCAGTTATTTGTCTTCCCCCAAATTCTGAGGTTCTAAATTCCTAATGATATTTTCTCTCTATCCATCAACATCTTTAATTACGAGGAAGCATATGACAACGAGGATGAGAAAACCTTGTGGGATATTTCTCGACACTATGAAATACTTGAGATCGTTACCATTACGCATAACTTCTACTTTCGAATGCATTGAGAAGTTCCGTATGGAGGGTAACTAACGAAAGCATTCCAAGTGAGGAATGGTGTAAGACAAAGGTACATACCTAGTCAGTATAATCGATAAACAACGAGGGTCTGATGCACACGTGAAGCATAGTGGTAACTATTGATTAGTAGTAAGGATCCAGATGATTTATATGTGCAGGCTTGTTATTTATTTTCATAACTTATAACTTCACTACATTTCTTTGTCATATTTAGTTTTCTACTGAAACAATTTCTCTGAAGTGAAATCAGCTGAAGGTCGTTTGTGTATCTATATCTGAAGCATCACGTCGACAGAGGAAAACTGAACAAAAACACAAAAAGATACTGGAGAAATACACTCACGTTTAAAATAAGAAATCCGCAATAGACTGTAACCCAAAAAATCAAATATATAAGGCTTCTAACTCGAGAATTTACTAGCAACCACAACTTTGTTGAGTTAGGTTTGAATGGCTGGCGCTTCTTAAATATTCAATGTACTTACGACAAGTTGGTACCAACATACAATATATATGTCACGAACTTGTATAACCCAATTAATTTATTTGCGCTCGCCTCTCGTTTTGATACGGTTTCAGGTATTTGGTAATGTCAAACGAGTAGTTCTCTAGCCACTTGACTGCACTAATTCTAATCAATTTAATAGTTATTTGTGTATTTATATATCTTGCAGTTTGAGTGGGTGCATTTGTCCAAGGGTAGTAGGTTTCCAGAGACCGGCATCTATCACAGTACCAGACAGGAGGTTGGTTGATAGCAGTGCGAAAAACAATTGACAGAAAATTTGAATGCTGAGTGAAGACATTTGTTTCAAGAAAAAAATAAACAAACTTGCAATGCAACCGGTGTGAAGAGATCAAAATGTAGGAGTTAAAGGTGAAATGGAGATGATGATAGGTTATATAAGGACAAGTAAATGATATGTGACATGGACAACAGTAAGTAAGTTATGAGACATCCATCAGACAGCCGGTTCAAGTGAAAGATGTTAATTTGTGAAGGGTGCGTGTTCTTCAAGTGTCCTCTTATAGTTGTCTCCTTGGAGAAGGTCTTGTAGGACCAAAACATTGTGAACATTGCAGCCGGGCTGTGCGCATGCTTTAAGGAGATTTAGGGGCGATTCTGAGATGATTGAGCGGAGTTTCCTCCACATAAAGTGAAGGGTTGTATTTGCCTTGACCTAATCTCCTGTCCCTGTTACACTTGATCTACCAATTCAAAAACATTATTGTCCTATCATATCGGTGTGACGAATGATTTTTGTTCATTTCGACAAGACACGCAATACTAGTCGGTGTGATTGTACGTTCCACGTAATGACTATAATTCCTTCAATTATTGTACTAACCGAATTGTTTTTACGTTTAGAAACATAAAGTTCAAAGCCGAGTTATTCTTGTTCTAACTATAGCTTCCACATAGACTCTGGGTCGTCAGTATCGTGTTTGCAGTTCTAGTAGTATATCTGTAAGATGGATTAAATCCTATATCCCCTATGTAGTTTGAGCTGATTTCTAATGTTTCTGTGGTCACTAGCTCGAGATCGCGCTCTGAGGAGACAGCCGGAAGCGGATTTTCGTAGAGGGTGCAAGTGTTTGGTGCCAGATGAGACAGAACGTTCATGACTCGGCATTGCGGTAGACCAACTTTTAACCTATTGTCTACTGCCCATTCCCCAGGTGCTGTAAGACCCTTCTGAGGCTCAAGTGAATCCTTTTCGCGTTTTATGGACTTTCAGATCTTTGCATCATCTTCGATGATCGATATCGCCGAGCCAATTTTATCTGACGGATTGTTAATAAAGATTGGTGACAGTTGTTGATCTAAGTTTATCCCTTGTGAAACTCCTGATATTAAGACTCCCCAACTCACATGCAGTTTATTTGCCTTAGTGTGAAACGTACCGTTTACCACGTAGCTTCTGAGCTAAAAAAGAATCAGGTCAGTGAATCTCATCTTTTCAATCGCCTCTATGAGAAGTGCTTATGTATTTTGTCTGCTGTTTTTCCGAAGCCAGTTACTCCTACATGGACTTTTCTTTTGAATAATAAAGAGCCTGTATCCATTCTTTTTATGGTTGTTATGATGCTTTCGCGTCCTTTATCATGTCCCATTTATGCATCTGTTTTTATCAGCTCACTCTTTCAGGATTATAGGTAAGATATCACATTCTGATGACTTTCCCTGTGAAAAAGCTTGTGTAATTGGTTTCTATCATCACTTTAAAAAGTGTGATTTTCTGCTGCACTTCTGAATTCAGGATACGACGTTGATACAAAATAATTCATGTTTGTTACGTTTTTGTGGCAAATGAATGTTTCCTTCTCCTTAACTGCTAGAATAACACCAAAGGTGATCCCGGTACATCACAACCAATTCACAACGATCGTTAACTGATTGTGGCCACTTACGTTGATTGTTCAGTGCAAACTTCGCTTGCCTACATACTAGTATTCTTTCTATAACAAAAGCTGCTCTAATTTTAACGTGTTCAGTTTGGTCTGCTGAATACATCTCAAAATTGCACTTATAACGGCGAGACTATAATTTATGAACGAACCAATCAGATATAAGATAATGAGTCTCGATTTTTTGGGGCAAAATTCATCCTTACATTTGGCTAAATAGAGTTTTGACATTACAGCTGATAACAATTCGTGATGAAAACCCTAAATCCAACTTTTAACCTCAGCCGTCAACTGTAAATGAGAATTCTAACTGCTTTATAACTTTCATTTAGTCCGATTTAGTAGGCGTCCGCTCTCAAGGTCACTTCAGAGTCGCTCAAGGTCGCCCATAAATTATAGTCTCACCAAATTTAACGGAGTCTGACCTCATTTACTTCGTGTTAGAAATGTTATCCAGCTGAACACAAACTACAATTTCAGCTTCTCCTTGTCCTAGTCTTATGGGAATCACTCCCAAGAACGCATATTTGCTTAGATGCTTGGTAAATTTACAATGACTCTCCGTTTCTGATATTTCTTTTGAGCTGTTGACTGGTAGATCACTAATTAACAGACAATTAAGTTTCTTTGTACACTCTTCAACGCTATAGCGCGTTCTTGACCTGCACCCATTGACTCTATGACATTACCCAAGACATATACCCTTAATACTTGCTTGCGACCATCGATCTTCCACTGTCAATGACCTCCAGTATTTTGGATTTCTGTCTGCCACCTAAACTAAAAATTTTGATATCATCTAATATTGCACTAGAACTAGTGTCACTGATATCATGGTCGCCCCTGTTTAAATTTGAACGATGACACACAAAAATATTCAGTCACTCCCTTTGTCAAAGGGATTTTTCGTCGAATTTGTCTCTATTTATCAGTTTAAAGCTAGTTTATCTGCGATGTATGGATGGCTTTTCGAACCATGCACCAGATTATCAGCAAAAAAGTACTTCAATTTTCAGCAGAAACACTGTCAGTATTGACAGTGACCGTATATTTCTCGGAACTGTAGATTCAGATATAAATCAGTTCAGAACGAGGGATAACTTTTGAGGTTATGTAGTGTCTGTATGTATTAACGTTTGTTTCGTGCTTATTTGCCGCCTGATTTCGAATTCTAAATACAATACATTCGTTTGTGCTCACCTAGCTCTGTTTGGCTTAAATTGTACTGCTTCGGAAATTCCTATTTGATACAATAATCCGAATATTTTATAGGTTATTCCAGATCCGGGTTATCTTGTCTAGTAAGAATCCAGCACAAACTGGTTGAGCGAGGAACGGTTTATATATTTAAATGTATGTTGTTACTCAAACAAATAAATCAATTTGCAGAAGACACTGTTCGACATTCGTAGAACTTCAAAATGAAATCTAATACTCTTGAGCAAAACAGTTATTTCGAATGTGTATATACCAATAAGTGAGTCAATTAAACATTCATGCTTCACCAAATCACTTGGCTTCTCGAATGATTTCCGCTTTAGTTCTGGAAACAGGTTCAGACGTTGAATTAATTTCAGTTCAAAGGTAAAAAATCACTGTTGACCTCCATCATAACATTTATCAGTTTAGTTCTTTACAAGAAGTAACATCATGGGATCCCAGTCATACTTCTAAACAACTTTAGTGAGCCTCGTTAGTGATCGTCGCAGATACCATAAATGTAACACGAGTAACACTTCGTACCCTTGAATATATTGCAGCTTGCTGCACTAATTGTTCCAGTCAAATATGTGCTTGTGTCAGCTACGTCTATAGTAACTGACAAATTCGAAAAATCAGAACTAGGTTTTTTGGTGAGAGATGAAGTGATGTTTTGATGAATATTAAGATTTAATGACTGTGGTCTTCAGTTGAGAATTTGTCCACTTGGACAACCGCACTACTTGTATCACTACACACTGGCGAACTTAAACGTAGGTGATCACTCGCGACACGAAAATTCCCGACTATCAATTAGCTTAAACAAGATACTGTTAAACGAAACCACTTCCACTGAAACAATTATGTGAAACAACATTTTGCCTGAACACTTGCCCAGATTAAATGAAGCCAAAGGGTTGACATTATCAACTGTAGCTAATTCAGAATTTAACTCCAAGTTAATCTCATTATCCTCACTGTTCAGACCAGTTTATTCGACCTCGTTAGCAAAATTTGCTCTCTTTGTCAAACAGTTGATTTGAATCTCGCAAGAACTTCTATTCCTACCCCTTGTCAGTGAGTGGTTTCTGTTTTACGGTGTTCTGAAGTAAAAATCCGCCTGTTAACCCTCTAGGTTGAACGGCAGTCCCACGTTAGGATGATGGACGAAGGTTTGGCATGAGGTCAGGAACCCCACCCCGTAAAAACAATCCTGATAAGAAACCTAAAAAAAAATCATTTATACCACTTAAATACTGTCCTGGGAGTTGAAGGATCTTCATGTGGAAGAACTACATTGTCTTATGGTGAAAACCAAGATTATTCACGAGGACGATACCCCTTCCAATAAATAGAGCAACGACTGATATAGGTACATGAAATGTCAAGACAATGTGGAAGACCTCTAGGACCAGTCAAATAGTTCTATAAACGAGAAAATACGACTTGACGGTTCTCAGAAGAAGAAAAACACGTTGGACTAGAGTTGGATATAAATGATAATCTTCGGGATAGATTCTGTTGTACTCCGGACAAAATGCTTTGCACACATGGAGTTGCACTGATTCTGCTCAAAGAAGTACGTAAAGCGCTTATAAGATGTTTACTCATGGATCTAGAATCTTTTAAGCATCCTTCAAAATAAAGGAAGAGAGGATAATAATGTACGTCATCCAGTGCTATGCACCCAAAAAAGGTAGTAGTGGAGACGATAAAGATCAGTTCTGTAAGGGGTAAAATCGATCATAGAGACTGAAAAGAACAATACCTTATCAGGATACCGAGGAAAGGTGATTTCAGCAAGTGTGAGAACCAAAGGGACATTGCACAACTGTCATTAACAATAAATGTTTTCAATAGAGTGTTGCTGAGCCGAGCGAAGGATTTGGTGTTCGCCCGATTTCGAAATTAAAAGGCTGGATTTC